AAAAAAAAAAATGTAAGCGCAAATGGAAGAACTTATGCAACGAAGAAAATAAGTGACGCGTAGTTTACGTTAACACACTTATCGTTCAAGTAAATCAATGTTTTCTATTTTTTTTTCTTTTTTTTAAATGTTACAAACAGGATGTACAATAATTTTGATATCCTTTTACACGTTATTATGTTAAAGAAATAATCATGAAATTTGAGTTTATTCTGTAACTACGTGTTCTAATATTTGAACAATTTTATTGATCTTTAATTCGATTTTTCTTAATTCATCACCCTTACAGTTTGAATTAGCAACGTGAAACGCGAAGGAGATTCTAATTATTCGATGGAAGTAAATTTTGTTGTATTATTTCTTCAAGAAAATCTATTTTGAGATAGGCTTAATCATAAAGAAAGAAAGAAAGAAAGATAGAGAAAGAGAACGAAGCATACACACATATGTATCTACACATATATACATTGAAAGAAAGATGACTAGAAAATGGCAGGGGCGTTTGTTTCATTGGGCAAACGTTTGAACGATAAATTTGACTGGACGTAGAGCTTTTCCTGAAGGCACCAACATAAGATTTATACGACAGATTCGTATGGCATTCGCTAAAAGTTTCTCTCGTCTTATACGATCTTTAATAAGACCTATCGACGATCATAACCTTTAAGGATAGATGTTTCGTGTATCCTTTTTTTATCAAATTGTTTCTTTACTTATATATTTTTTAACATAATAAAAATAAGAATTTATATATAACTCATGTAAGGGAGTGAGTTTGACTCGTTCCAAATTTGTAGCAGATTTTGTTGTTGTTAAATTAATTATTTTTTTTTAAGTACGCAATTTTTCAAAGTTTAACGAGTGTCGAGGAAAATTAATTGATTTTTATCATTTCATAATTTTCTTTTTATTATATTTTATTTTATTTTATTTTATTTTATTTCTTTATTTGTGGTTTGATTTAATTTTCAATTAATTGCAATCGATGATTAACGTCCGAATATTCTGTAGGGATTGAAGAAAAGACGAAAATGTTAATCCGATAACGACCCTTTCTTGAGGGCTGATGTACCACAAAAGAGAGTTCTTTCTCGTACGTGCCGAAAATATTTTCCCTCGGTTAACTGACATCAAATATATGCCGTGTTTGATTTTGTCGAGATCGATTTTATCAGACGGGATAACCAATCACCCTAGTAAGTTCTGACTTTTATCGCAAGCAACAAAGATAAACGGTGGTATCGTTCAATTTATTATTTACACTCAATTTTTATCTATCCCCCATCCCTTCTTCTCTTTTATCATCTTTTAACACATTTATTTCATTGTTTTTTGTTCCCCTTTGTTCAAAATATCAAAAGAACAAAATTCTTTAAAAGTATCTCTCTCCATCGTATATTAATATATTATTATTATTATTAAATCGATAAACTAAAGTATGAATTTACGCAAGATAAATTATTAAACGTTATTAATTAAAAATACAAAAATAACGAAGTATGTTCGAAACAGGAAACAAAAGAAAAATACATTATCTATTGCTAATATCACACATATGACATAAACACATTCTTATATCATAGTAAATGTCAGAAAAGATAAAGTAAACACAATAAAAAAAGAAAGAAAAATATTAGAAAATATCTCTTTGTGGTTTGGTTGCATTCGAATTCGATGTATATACGAAAAGATATCGTAGAAGAATAAGAATAAGAATAAGAATAAGAATAAGAAGAAGAATAAGAAGAAGAGTATTTTAAATCTAATGACGCATCGAGACCACACAAAACGATGCAACGACTCTCGAAACGACTTAGGATCGATAGCTGGCAAATTTTGTTGGCCCTCCCCTCATCATACGATGGGTAACATTATACGATCCATCTGGCACCGGAGAACTACTAACACACGATCTCCTCAACGTTTAAATTACTGTCGTCGTCTTTTGTTTGCCAATTTACAGTACACTACATACCTCACACACACACATTTTATTATACCGACGACAATATCCTTGGGTTTCAAACTTTACCAAACTGTTTTGAAACTTTTATCGATCGATCCTTATTATACCACATCTAATGTTATGGTAAAATCAATTTATATCAAATATTGTCCCCACTTTCTCTCTCTTTCTTTCTTTCTCTAATGTTGTATCCCTAACTTCCTGTTTACCGTTGACCAACATTTGAAGAGAAAATCATTTTGAACGAAATCAATTATTGATAGACAATGTGATATAATCTAGGAAAATCATGTCAAACTATATATTCCAAGAATATTTTTCATAATAAATTTATAAACGATAATATAAATGTTGCACACTTGATGAAAATTTTACTAATTCAAATATTCTAGGAAAATTGTAATGCTTTTTTCCAATGAATATGTAAACGATGTGTCTTGCAATTCTATGAAAATAATGCTAATTAAAATATCCCATAAACACTGAAAATAAATACGTACAATATCCTATAAACTGGAATGATTTCTAGAGCTTCTACTAAGTCCCAAATTTCTTTCAATGAACGTTTAAACGTTTAAAGCTTTAATAATAACTATTTACCAAATGATATCTATCTTATTCGGGTTTTAATAATGAATATCTTCTTTTCTCGGCACGGCGCCGTTGGCAAGGTAATATAATTATTAATAAAATAATTCGATGAGGAAATTATTTATCGATCAGCTTGATAAATCCAACAATTTATATAAGATGTTATATTATTTATCCCGAAGAGTAAGGAGAAAATCTTTTTCTTAAATACAAAACACAATTATCTTAAGATGCTCATCAACAATTTCTATATAAACGATAATTAATGTAAATACAAAATAAAATCTAAATTATACGAAATATATATTAGTATTAATTAGATAAAATAAACATTTCAATTTCTAGCCTTCCAAAAATTCAAAACATATAATCGGATTTAATAATTATTTCAAAAATTATAGTTTTAAATCGTAACCCAATGAATATAAATAACTTTTCCTTTTTTTTTTCCATAAAAACCATATGTCGTTTGATTGTACGCATAGACAAAAGAGTGTACTTTAATTTAATATAACTTTCATTAAAATCTATTCACTTTCTTTTCAACGTTGTTTAAATAATAATTTGATATTCTATAGGATATCAAAGTATTATGTTCGATGCCTAAGAAAAACTCTCCAAAAAGTCTTATTTCCGACTTCGTTTGAAAGCTCTTTGCATTTATAGTATTATGCATGTATATAGGAATTACTAACAATGACTGATTTCTGGCTTTGACGGTAACATATATATACTATAAATGCGTAGGTGGTATCGCGTGATTATGTGGAAAACGTGAGAGTTTGGACGATGTGTAAACGACTTTCACGCACGTTCATTGGCTTGGCGAACTTGCACGAAGTCGCTCCTTTCGTTTCGGGGAAGTTGACCTACGTCACCACTATAGACGCTATTTTCGCTTATCGTATTCCTCTCTCTCTCTCTCTCTTATCTCTCTTATTTCCTCTTTTTATCCCTTATATTTTCTTCATCATTCCCTTTTCTTTCTCTTTTTCACGTTTTTCACTTTAATGCGTTAATCCCGATATTTCTCTCTCTCTTTCTCTCCCTTTCTTTCTTTCCTTCTCACTCTTTCGTTTGTAAGTTTTCTCAATCCTCCATCAACTTCTCATTCTCTCTCTCTCTCTCTCTCTCTCTCTCTCTCTCTCTCTCTCTCTCTCTCACTCTTTCTTTCATTTCTCGCGTTCACGCGTATTTCTGGCACGAGTTTCATATACCACGCACGCTTCCCTATCGTCGAAAGAAGTCATGCAGAGTTTCAAAACGAAAGTACCAAATTTCTAGCATAGTCGCGTTAGTCGAAGAATTGATGAATCTGTTCCAAATATATAGAGAAATTTTTTTTTGTAGATTTCAATCGACATTATCTCATTTCCCGTTTCTTTGCGTAACTTCGGAAATTTTGTTTCTTATTTGAAAAATATTGGTTCTTTTTGATATTAATGAATCACATAAAAGTCCATGTGATTTAATTATTATACAAAAAAAATACTATACGAGAGAGAAAAATATGTGCCAATTCGATTAAATAAATAAATCATCGATTTATATTTTATACGTAACAATATTATTTAGAAGAATGATAGGGGAAATAAAAAAATATAGGTATATGTGTAATTTAAGCGTCGAATAAATCATTGATATATGCTACTTGATAAAAAAAAAAAATGATAACACGAGAAAAATTATCTGTAATTCAAGGATCAAATATTTACGCACTGATTTGTGCATTCGTAAGAAAAATGATATCAGGGTGGAAAAAAAGGTATGTAATTTGCGTATCATATAAATTATCGATCTATACTACTGCAAGTCATATTTATATAGTGCATAAATTTGTATTAAACCTTACTTATATTATTTTTACGTATTGCATTAATTTTTATTTCTAATTTAAAAGTTCATGAAAATGTTTATTCCCGAAAAAAGAAGTTAAAAATAAATTCCTAAGAAAAAGAAAAAAAAGAAAAATCCCGCAAAAGCAATAATTTTTTATAACAACAATCAAACTTCTAAGACACCAGAAAAAACAATTACTGAAGCCTGACAGACTCCAGTCTACCAGTTACGTATTTAAGAAAACATATTACACTTCTCTAATTCTTCATTTAACTATTCAACAATTTATCCGAAGTTTCCTATCTTTGCAAATAAATGCATCATTCTAGATTTGAATTCGACACATATATTGTCTTACAATTCGTGATACGAAAGATTTTTCTTCACAAAATTTCCATGGTTAATAAATTAATCGGGGAATATAATAGTTGTTTTTAAGTTGAGTTCCTGCGAGTAATCGAAATAAATAGAAAATGAGAATGAAAATTGTAATGAGATTATAAAACTTTTCAGCTCGTAGAGAGAAGAAAAGGTATTATAGTATTATAATAATAATAATAATAATAATAATAAAAAGAAGAAGAACAATAACTTACCTTTTCTCGTTAAACTAAAGCTTCGAAGCCTATAACTATCCTCATCTTCACCTTCCCTTGGTGATAATTGCATAGATGCTACGGGAACGTCAAGGAAATCGTTGCTTTTCTTTTGTTGAGCATGATGCATACTCTGACCTCTTCTACTTCCCCTTCTTCTGCATGCTGGACTAACATCGGCGTTCGTTAATTTGGGTTCGCTACTGCAATGGGGAGATTTAACGCTACCCTCGTGATGATGAAGATGATGCTGATCTGCTGCTAAAAACATTCAATAAATTAAACAAATTAAATCAATTAAATGAATTCTGTTTAAATGTACGCAAGAATTTAATCGATTGTAAGATATTTTTTGTACTTTTTTCTATTATGTGAAAATAAAATGTGATAAGTATAGATTATAGAAAAACTTTATAGACAAAAAATATTCTAAAAATATTAATCTTATTAAAATATTTATTAATTAAATTTTTAATGTATTCATTAAAATTTCACACGCGTCAGGTTTTGAAATTTTTTACTTATTTTCCGAATAGACTGATATATTTTTAACCGATAGTGTACCATATCTTTACATACACACACACACATATACATATACATAAATTTATATTTATATATACAAGTAAAATTGAATTGAGCAACTGTCGTATATCTATCATAGATACAAACATGATTTTTGATTACGTCTATGTTTCGATGAAACGTTACACCCTCGCAAATACGTTTATCGAGATATTCGAACTTCGTTTCTCTTCTTTCTTTATTTGAGCTTGATTCAACGATAGAATGGGGGGTATGGGGTATGGGGTATGGCGTCTGGTAATCCTATCTACGATATAACCGAGACATTGATTTATCGTACTGTTTCCGAGACAGAGTAAGTTTAACTGAAAGGATCATTCTTACTTTTTTTTTTTATAACATCAATAAGGTGTTAAAACTTTAGCGTCCATGCCAGTTCGAACGTTTGGAATATAAAAATGCAATTTTTCATTGAAAAGAACATTTTTAACGTTTCCAATGTGTTTGCAACGTTTCATCGATGACTTATGTGTGTATGAATGAAGTATGAACGAAAAAACACATATAGGATGTCCCATAAGGTTTGACCTATATTTCGAGAGTGTATTGAAGGGGTATCATAGGTTTCATTATTTCAATTTCAATTGTACTATTCCATTCTATCTTTATTATTCCATTGATGGTTAAATTAAATGATGAAAATAATGATCGTGTTAAATTGTCTTGTATTTTTATGAGACACAACTCTAATTAAATTATTTCAATGTAATATTAACTCTCTTTTATTGTATTAATTTTTTTAATTCTCTACCATTATAAATTAAATGATAAAACGTTAATCGCATTAGAAAAATTTTGGAAATGACAATTGCATTGCATTCAAACCTATTAATTTAAAAGTTAAACAAATTGTTTAGCTATATTTTTTGTTTAGACAAGCAACTTATATGATAAACAACTTCAAAATCCTATAATAACATTATACGTTGATTTCTATTAAAAAAATTTTGTTATATTATTATCCCTTACGATATAAATTGCCGAAGTGTAGGACAATTCTTTGGGGCACTCTGTATGAATAAAAATCTCCAAGGGCCTTAGCAGAAAACGTATCATACATCGTTTTCTCTTTCTCTTCTCCCTAGAGAGTTCTTGAAATCGCAACGGTTTCTATTTTCGTGTTAGCATTTTAATAGTAGGTCACTGACAGCACCTACGTTTTCAAAACTTCGCTCTGGTTTAAGAAAATCGAAGTACAGTATGATCAATTATTTTTTTTTCTTTTTCTATAATAATAATAAAAAAAAAAAATAGATCGGATTATTTTATCCTTTTCTATTTTTTTTTTTTTTTTTTTTTTTGATATCATCATTGTTTTAGAAAATATCTTACTTTCTTTCACAAAAGTTCGACTCTCTTCGAACATATTAAAAATGTCTCATACAAAAGAGACACGTATTTAAGAGCTTCTCGAACAAAAGATGCATACTACAATACTTTCTCTATTTCTCTCTCTCTTTCTTACTCTTGACAAGAATTCTGTCATTCTGAGAATACTAAAGAAAGAAAAATTAAACCAGATAGAACATTCTCGTAAATATGAAACATTTTACGTGATATCATCGAAGTCTCGTTAAATCGTTGATTACTAGTAAATCAAGTTTGATCCAAAAATTATTGCTAATATGAATTTTAAATCAAATATCAATATCAATTGTATGCATAAGTAGGATTAATTATAATTATAATAGACTCGAGTGATTAAATCATTCAATTAAGGTTTCAACGTTACGATATAATATTATTATTTACGTATAATTAAACAAGCAAAATTCGTTAAATTTTCTCTACCAGAAAAAGAAGAAGAAGAGGAAGGGGATGAGGGTAAGGGAACAAACAGATAGTTTGGCGATAGGAAAATAGATAAATCATAATTGTAATTGTAATTCTAAGAAAATATATTTTGGTATGGTTACCTTGTGCTGCCCTTCGTCGAATACTTTTACTTGCTCCGGAAACTCTTGCACTTTGAGATCTCGTTGCTGGTCTTCGTCTTCGGGTTGGTGTATTGCTATCAGGAGTACCGCTACCACTGTCTCTTTCACGATCGCTCTTGTCTCTTTCCTTAGCTCCCGAGGGTGGTATGGTACCTAACATTTGTTCCATACTGGAAAAACCAGGTGCACAAATCGAGGCCGATCGAGTTTTCCGACGAAATGTTTCTTCCGCCATTGTTATGTTTTCTTTATTCTTTCTTTTTCTATTTTCTATTGTTTGTTTTTTTTATGTTTTTTTTTTCTCTATCGATAAAATACAACGATACACCTTTTTTGATTTTGAATTGTTCGACGAGGTGGTTTTTGTTTTTTTTATTAAATAAAATATTTAACAAAGATATTATTATTATCTTGTTCTCTTTCTTTTTCGCGTGATATATTATCTTCTTTTAATTATTCTTTCATTTTTATCGCATTTTTTTTTGGATAGTTATACGCATCGTAATAAAAAAAAAGACTTTGGGTTCTCGTTTATAAATATTCTTTCTTAGATTGGTCCTTTTCTTTCGTACAAGGAAAAATATAACCTTTCTTTCCCCAGTGAGAGAGATACTTTCGGGCGAAAGATCCAAATAACTAACTCGATTATCTTCCCCTTCTTCTTCTTCTTCTTCTTCTTAATCTTCTTATTCTTATTATTTCTATCTCTAATCGCATTCTTGATATATAATTTTGTTTGCTCCGTTATTTATATGATGGATCATATTTTTTCCTTTCTTTAGTTTTATTTCCATTTATTTATGTCCTTCCTTTTTTTTTTTATAGGCTCGATCCTTCCTTCCAGTTCGAACTGTTCAAATTAAGCGGATGTTATTATATACTGTGACATTTTTCTCTTCCCCATGATATCTGCAAGTATACACACACACAACCCCCACGCCCCATGCCCCACGTACAATTTAGCTTTAGATCGTTTCTTGCGAAAAACGATATTGCCCTCTCGTTTCTTTGTTCCCGAGTATATGAGAGATAATAAAAATAAATTGAGACGCGCCACTATACTCTTATCTTCTCTTTCCTTTTCATCCCTTTTCATCCCTTTCCTTCTATTCTCACTAAAGTAGAAAATTGCTTTCAGATCTTTCAAAATTCCAAAGCTTTTTGTTTATTTCGGATATACCCCATTAACGAATTTATTAATTAAATACGTCAAGTAAATAGGTTAATAGGTTGTTATTCATTCGTTCGTTCGTTCGTTCGTTTCCTATTTATTGTAGAAAGAAAAATGTACTTCGTTATCAAATAGAATATAATTCTTAATATTTCGAAAATAAATGTTGTTCTATCGATTTACAAAATTCTTCATTATTTATTGCAAATGTTTCCGGATTTTCTTTTTATTTCTTGTATTTTTTGTTTTTCTTTACTTTATATTTTACGATACGCGATCCTATGCTACGTAATCGATGGAAAATTGTTTCAGCAACCTATAAGTCAATATCTTTTTTCCCTGTTAATTATCTTCGATTAACGGAAATTCATCCGAGTATGTACCTATGAACTACTCGAAAGCATTACTACTATATATTATCGTTTTTATTGGGTACCGTGAACGCTCTTGTAAAGTTAATTAGACGTTAAACCTATTATTTTTGAAAGCACTAATGATATCGCATTTAATTTTAATATGAAATATGAAAAGATTTGTTTTCTTTCATTTCATTAATTATATATATTTATGTATTATTGTACTATATATATTATTTTTATAATTTAAAAACGAAACAGAGAAATAATATTTATTCTGAAAGCATATAATCTATACCATGAAGTTTGTATTTACCGCCAAAAAATAACTCGAAAAGCACGCATTTGAAAGGAAGAAAGGAAGGAAAGCAAAGCTCGTGATTCTACAACGAGGCACGAATTTGTCTTTATTTAAATAAACTAAAGCACGTTCAAAATTACTAACAGAACAAATATTAAGAAAAGATTTGTCTGGTTTGGGTGCGCTAAACCTATAAATCTACGCACCTCTCTGTATGTTGACTTATTTCAAGTTATTTATATCATTATTCTTAAAATTTAATTTTAAATATATATATATATATACGCGAGTTTCTATTTCCTGTCTAACTTGAATTATTTTCTACGAATTTCAATCAAATTGACAATAAAATAAAAATTCGTTAAAAAGTCTTCTATATGTGTAAACAAAAGTTGCACGTGAAACTCACATGGCTCGTATAATTTCTTTTATTTTAACTCGTAAACCCGGTCTTTTTCTCTCTCTCTCCCTCTCTTTCTCTCTCTTTCTCGAACATTTTTTTATTATAAGAAGAAATTTATAAAGCGAATTTTTTGTCGTTTAAATTTCGTTCAATGTTCTTCTTCTTATCATTACCAGTTTACTGTCACTCCCTTTCTCTCCGTCTATATTTTTCATTATTTATACAAATACACTTGGTGTCATAGAAACGCAATACAAATGTCGAATATAAATTATGTTTTGCTTACTTTTTTGATAAAGCTTTTTTCCCTTTTCAAAATCAGAAAATTCTCTTATCGATTATATGATTCCCCTTTTCTTATACACGTCACCTTAATCTTAATATTTAAACGGTTATGATCGATCTCCTTTTCTTCTGTCACTTTTATCACTACCCTGTCACATGTCTCGAGAAAAATCGAATAATTGTCCCTTGAAAAAATATCACCGGGAAAAACAAAAATAAAATTACCACCCCAAACAACGACGCGCGGAATACTGAACCTACTCTAGAGTACAGATCGCTACCCATCGCATCAACGCGCCAATGCGCATGCGTTCGGCTATATACGTCATGGTTCGGCAAACCTCGTGTCTCACCCATGCCTTCCCCGCCATTTTCATCATCAAATTCTAAGAAACTCGAAATAGAATACTTTTCTCAATCTTTCGTCTAATTTATATATACCATATATATATCTATACACCATTATTTTTAATAGTATTTAATTCATGTTTTTATTAACTATACAAAAATTAATAGACATAGGAATTTTTCATAATAAAATTAAACGTTGGATTTTATAGATAAATCTTCTTCATCGATATTTTGGAATAACATTCATTGATAATTTGTCAGGTGATATTTAATAATACTATATAAATCTTTTTACAAACTATACTTTTGAAATTTATTACGTATAGCAATTAATTCTCGGCACTTTTTTTTTAATTAATGTTTATTTATAAATACATCTGTTATTCTTTGAAATAGTCTCCATTATTTTCCATGACTTTAGTCCATTGTTCAAGCAACTACTGAATTCCTTGACGAAAAAAGATGGCGATTTTGGTGTAATTAATTTAATATCAAAGCATCGAATTAATTGCTACATCTAATATAATTAAATAAATATTGTCATTCTTTTCTTTAATTTTTAAAATAATTTATATATTGTAATAACTATAAAATAAAAAATATATACGTACATTTAAAATGTCTTAAAAGACATTTCATTTGTATTATAACAATGTATTGAATTACGAACCAATGAAATCGATGCTACCGTAGAAGTAACCAATAAGATAACAGAGAGAGTTTTTATTTGTCCAATTGTTTCCAAACTTCTATTTTCTACCAATCACAAATGTTTACCTGAGAAAATACATTAACATTGGTGGATGAGTATTCCTATGGAATAATCGTATTGATAAATTGAAAACGTTTAACGAACGTACTTTCATGGATTAATAGTAGCGGCCATTATTATTTAAGTGTATGGCAGCCCTGCTTCAACAATTCTATTTCTTCTTAGGCTTGGGTATATTCACTTTCTTATTCCACGCCCAAATATAATCTGGTATGTATAATATTAACGATATTTCGTTATTTTATCTAGTCGCAGAAAATATTTATGCATAAAAATAATATTACAAAAATCCAAAATAATATCATATGGATTCTCTTATTTCGAAATAATAGTATAGTATATACATGAACATATATATGTATATCTATTAGTAAGGACGCTTACGATGAACTTATACATTTCTAACGGCATTCTGTTTTCAAAAAATCTGCGCGAATTAAATATAAGCCGATATCTTTAATTTTTCTAATTAATTATTAATATTGTATTTTAAGAGATCAATACAAATTTATTTATATTTATTGAATTTCTATGATATATATGTATATGTACATGTATATCTTAATACTGAAAATGATTTTATGATATTAATATATTTAGTTTCAAGACTTCCAATAGATTAAATTAGTGATTAAATATTCTTATATTCTTTAATGTAAAATGTACGGAACTTTGTAATTGTATTAATCGAGCACACATCTAATAATGTAAAATACTTATTATAAAACTTTAAAGTATAACCATAATCATTTACAACAAAATTGTTAATAATAATGTTACTTGTCTTATAGCAATCATGTCTTTTAATCGTGGATTAAAAAGAGATACCTACGGGAATCGAAATTTTAATAATCGTGGGAACAGTGGAGGAGGTGGAGGTAGGCCTGGTAATATTGGAGGAGGAGGAGGAGGTGGTGGAATGGGAAGTAATATGGGTGGAGGTATGGGTGGAGGAGGAGGAAATAGCGGTATGAATCCTTGGGAAGGAGGAATGATGCCTGGAAGAGGAATTTTACCTACTCCAAATAATAATATATCTTTGGCTTCTCCGCAAGCCCAGTTAGCAATAGCTAGTAATCTTCTTTCAAATTTGTTACGTACTCAACAAGAAACGCAACCGCAAGTGAGTTTTCCTAATACAAAATATATATTTTTTATCTAATTTTTTGAAAATGTATTAAAATAATTGTGTACTTTTTTCAAAAGGTACCATCTTTACTCAGCCTTGGAAATAATTTTTCTGGACCAGGACCTAATTTTCCAAATCAACAAAACTTTTCCTCTGGACGATTTAATGATCGTCCAGTAAGACATCCAGTCAAGAATCAACGACCTCAACCGTATAAGGTATGCAACTATTCAGTATTTTGTTCTGAAAAACAGGCACAAGCCTTTTAAAAATGTTTAGTGGACTTTTAAGCGGAAGCTAAAAATGGGCAAATTTTAGTCCACACTTCCTTTCTTTCTTTCTTTCTTTCTTTATTTCTTTAATATGTTAGAAACATATTCCAATACTTAAAATTCGTCTTCCACATATCAGTTGCTTGATTGACAATTTAGGTATTCGATCAAAAATATTCTATGAATCACAAAGATATAAACAATTGTTATCATTTGATAAAGTTTGTATCCTATGATTTTCAAATGGAATAAATCATCACAATATACAATTTTATTATAAATCTCAGCTGATATAGATATTGATTTCAAAGATCTCTTTCCATTTGTTATATGGAAATTAAAACAACAATGTTGAGGCACAAATTGATAATATATGGGCATTATTTTTCGTCGACTTGGTTCACCAATATTCTGTCTTCTGTCTATCGTCTCAAGTAAAGTCGATGGTACAGATATTTTCAAAACAATTGCACGCATGTGGGAATTAAAAGTCTTCTTCGTTCCTATGGTAAATTTCTTTTGGAGGACAAAAGTAGTTTTATAAATATCATAAGCATGATCATAATGATCATTGCAGATACTAAATAAAACTATTTGCTATATGTAGCAATCTTCAAACTATGTGCTATGATTTTCCTTTCCCTTCCACCTTTGAGTGGAATTAATGACCTTCGTTGTTTGGTCATATATGTCCTGCTTCCATATCGAATAGAAAATTTTTCTCCCTCAAGTGCCCAGTGGTTCCTAGAACCTAATTCGACTTGAGAAGAATCGAAATTTTATCAGATACTTCTCATGATGGTTTGGTCATTTGACCCACATAACTAGATGGGCAATCGAGCCCGAGATGGCCCTGCTGGGCGACGTGGCCCATCTGCACAACAATCTCGTGCACCCCAGTCTGGCAATCAACGTATGAATGGAAACCAAAATCAACATCGCAACGATAAATCTTCTAAACCAATTCCTGCCTCTAAACAAAATCAGGCTGCCAAAAAGGAACAGCAGGACAATAAGACCTCTGATAATGAAAAAGCAGAAGCACCTGTTGTTAAAAGGTAAGCTCCTGGTGATTGCGAATAGTTTCTTCAAACTTCAGTAAGTCTCATTCTGTCACCTATCTTTGTATGTATGATGTTTCTTGGTATTACTGTTTATAATACAGTCGACACTACTTCCTTTCTCTTTTCTGTCATTAAATTGTATCATATTTATTCCATAATATAAATGATACTTAGTGAGCATTTACTTTTCAATATTGACTATATATTTACACTACATTGAAAATTTATACACATATCGATTTATTCTCACATGCCCTCTAAAAAAAAAGTCTAAAAACACCATCTAGTGTACTAGTCTATTATAGTTGGACAAGTAAAAATTACTAATGCGATTTGGTGTTATGAGAAGTGTGAGAAATCTTCTGCCCAATCAATTTTCTAAGTTTTACATACATATCTTATGTATATAATATTACTAGATAATTGATTAAATGTTAACATTCTAAATTGTAATGTCTATAGTAGACATTTAGATTTTTTTAATATGATTTACTTATTTCAAAAATATGTATGTATATATATCTATATATATCTATATACTTATAATAATAACGTATTCCAATGAAAGACATATATTTATCTTTGAATTAGTGAACATATGGAAGAGTTTGTGGATAAAAAACGTGACTGGAAGGATGAAAAGAACGAAGCAGAAGAAGTTAAAACTGAGAAGGTAAAAGAGGAAGATTCAAAAGTTGTCAATGAAAAAATACAAAAAGAAGAAGAGGAAGAAGAAGAAAAGAAATTGGAGAAATCTTCTACTACTACTGCAACTTCTACTACTACTACTACTACAACAACTACTACTATTCATGCCGATGTTACTAATGCCATTGCTGTTGCTACAGAAGATACGTCTAAAGAAGCAAATGCTGCAACCGCAGACAAGGATTCTAATAAAGCAACCGGAAAAAAATCTGAAGCAAGACATGCTGAAAGTCGTTATGCGGAAGTACCAATGAGCCATATGTTCTGTTATATATGCAACAAACATATGTGGGACGGTTATGTATGTACTTATAAATTATATCTTTTATTATCTATAAATGTATAATATTAATGTGGAACATTTTTTTATACACAGTCCTTTGAGAATCATTTACGAGGACGCGCGCATCAATTAATGATGGAAAAATTAGATGAATCGTATAAATTGAAAGTTGATCTAATGAGACATGAGTTAAGAGTAGCGGAAGAACAACGTGGACTGAGTTTAAATAATTCTAAACGTCGAGGAAAAAAGGTTTATTATATTTCCATATAAATTATATACTATTTTACAAATTTTATAAGTGTACAAAAGCAAATGATGTTTTAAGAATACATGTACCTAATTTTTTCCTTATGTATATAAATTTTAGATTCCTGTAGATTTGAATATAAGAGAATATTGTACAATGTGCGATTTGAATTTTTATGGAACTTTGTCAACGCATCGTAAAAGTGAAAAGCATCAACAATTGAAAACATTTTTGCATCCACGTTGTTTCCCATGCTTAAAAGAGTTCCCATCTCGTATAGAATACGACGAACATTGTTTAACTCCTGCTCATATGAAAAATGCCGTACAATGTGAAGAACACCGAAAAAATAAAAAGAAAGGTGGGTTAAAAAGTAGTTAAATCCAAAAATTATAATAATATATTAATTATTATAAAGAAAAGTTGTCATTTACGGTAATCAATAATTATAGAAAAACTTGGAAAAGGTGAGGCTGAAGTTCGTACTGCTGAAGATGAAGAAAAAGATGTTGGTCCTGATCAAAAAAGTGAAAAGGAAGAAGAATCCGGAGAATTTGAATTTATTACAGACATTTCGGAAAATTTAAAAGACAAGAAATTCAAAATACCTTCCTACAGATATTGTCGTCAAAATCAAGTATCCATAGGTAAGATCAATTGTGATAATATTAATTATTCAATTAATTAAATGAATATAATATATTTTGTTTTTACAGGCAAATCTTTAGTAAAGGAGATACAAGGATATTATTGTGAAAAATGTCGAAGATTTATGTTATTATCCGAAGACATGAATGCACATCTTCGTAGTATTACTCATTACAGAAATTTCGTGCAAGAAGTAAAATCTCTTAGCCTTCCTGCAACTAATTCAAGTACAGAAAATAAAGAAACTGATGATATAGAGGTAAGCTATAAGTTGGATTATAATTAAAATTATATCATATTTATGCGCGATACATTATTTAATGTCGCTACATTCGTAATGTACATGTTACAGTCTAAAAGAGAAAATTCATCACAAAATAGCGAGGAATATGAAGGTAATTGGAAACGTCGTAAAGTTACTCATTCCGAAGGTGAAGATAACGGAGAATCTAAAGAAACACCAGATAATAGTAATGAAAGTTCCTCTGGTCAAAAGAAAACCGATGGCGATGAAAAGTATGATCCGTTAGAAGCTGACGCGGAATCGGAAGAAGATGAGAATAATGAAGCTGGTAGTAATAATGAAAAAACTTCAGAAAATGTTTCTAACGAACAAGAAAAGAAAACGTCTGGGGAAAAAATGTGGTTAGACGTAGACAATGACAATGATCATCTTGAATTAGGAAATTTAATAGATGAAGATGATGAAAAAGATCATACAGAGCTTGAAAAAATCACTGTGCCAGTTACCGTTGAAGTAACGCCACACACTCCACAAATGAATAAATCTCCACGTGGCCGTGGATATTCTCGTGGACGCGGAGGAGGAGGGCCACGTGCACGAAGATCTCGACGATAAGATAATTGGGATATATCAGCGCGTATTTTTGAATAATCGATTTCTCTGAAAAATGCAGTGACATTATTAGGAACAAAAATTAATAAGAGAAAAGATAAGAACGTCTAACGTATTCTATGGGAATTACAAAATATATACTTTTACAACTTATTATTACTAGCAAAGCAACACTGAACAAGTCTATTTGTAAGATTTTGAATTTTACACGAGGCGGAATGTCCACTAATCAACTGTATCTTATTCTGATATAATATTATATACTTATCGATTATCTGTCAATCTTAAAACATTGCTATTATTTCTTAATAGCCTCGTATATATTATTACAAAAGTAAATATTATTATTAATTTCTTTTTTAGTTGCCTTTTCTTACAAGCAAGAACTATTGTGGTCTTACTCTTTTGACCCAGATCCGCAAGAGGATTATTATCTATATCATTATTTTTTTATTATATAATTAGTATTTATTAAATGTTTGAGATCGAAAGAATGAAATACACAAAAAAAAAGTATATATATATATACATACGTACTACAAAACAAATTATTAATATAATGCTTCGAAAAAAGAAAAAACTTCCAACAAGTTTGGAGTTTGTAATTGTAGATTTTAATGTAAGGTGATTTTTTTATATTAACATTCTTAAACAATAATGTAATATGGTTTGGATGTATGATTTATTTGTTCATTATAATGTTATAGAAAAAATCATCTGTGCGAATAATCGTGAATAATAGATCAATTAATATACGTAATTTCGTAATTATTCGTGATTTATATCAAATACAATATTAATGTGAGTAAATTTGCGTACGTGTGAGAACTATTCATTTTTAACACGAACAAAATAATTCTTGAAATTGGTGTATTATTCGGTAATGATACGTATAAATATCTGCGGATTGATAGGAAATGTAAATAATTTTTTACTCTTTATCATTTTTAACTTCATTCGTATACATATATCAAATGAGAAATTAAGAGAATTAAAATATTTACATTACACTAAGGAATTGTATTACTTACTATTCAATTATGAAATCCTCTATATAATAAAATGTCATTCCACTTATCTCATTTTTTTTTCTTTATTAACCCATTTGCAATCTAAATACACAAAAGTACGCCAAAAATCCGTAAATTTTTAATTTACAGTCGTTGAACATTTGAATTCGTGAAAGTTTCCGTTTACTGATGCAGGTACATTAAGAAAATATAAAGTATAAAATAAATTAAAATGTATGGTATATCTTGCGCTGGGTGCATACTATTTTATATGTGTCTCTAAGTAAATTCAAATAATATCAAAAGTTAATGAATATTCTAGAAAACAAAATTTGTATTAAAAATCTCTACGAATTTATAAATGTTATTTATTGATATTTAAAGTAAAGAGAGAAAATTTGAATTAAAAAGACATCATCCATCGGTGTTTTTCATTAAAAACTTGATTCGCACCTAATAAAAATAAGAAAAAAAATAATTTGCCTTGAATTTGCTGCAAGAATACAAAGATCGCATGTGTATTTCATAAAACTTGTTATTCATTATTTTTATGAAATATTAAAAAGCCTTTTATACTATCTTCGATATCGTGATATACAAGTATTATTTTTTTTTTATTAAATATGAAGTTTTTACCAAAGAGATTTCAAAAACCAAAAAAACTGTATCGTAATATTACGTAATTAGAAATTCAAAATCTTAGTATTTAATTGACAACATATTTGCATTATCATCACAAAAAAGATTACAAGAACAATTATTACGAAGGTTGCACGGTAAAAAAAGTATACCAAAGGTAAAAGTTGTTATTGTTAAATTAGATAATTGCGGTGGGAAAACTTTTTCACGAACAGACGAAAAAGGAAAATATTTACAAATTTTTGAAAAGATTGACGAGAATGACGAAGAACATGACGAGAATATCAAAAGTATTTTATAATTATTCAACAATGATTAATCATATTCACGACAGGAATATTAATTGAATGTTGTTTTCGTAAATCCGACATATAAGAAAAAATTTGCAACGTTTGATTTATTAATAGCAGCTTCTTGGAATGGAAATCGTAACGAATACTTTTGTTTTTATTGTATATTTTACATACATTTATTACCTGGTTTTAATACTGAAAAATATATTAATATATATATAAAAACAAACAAATAAAACAATATAACTCCGACCTATGGTTTCATCTCATAAATAATTTTTGAATACTGTATTTTTAATAAACATCCTGTTATTATAATGTAATGTATTAATCATTACACGTAAAATCCATATTTTTATCATGATTATTTTTCACACGATTATATAACTTACGATATACTTGAGATAAAAACGTCAAGATAACAGATTTTTCATTTCCGTTCTACACAAATTACTTTGCACATCATGTGATTTAACACTGATATTTCTGTATTTTGAGAGACGAACAAGGTCAAGTAGGGGCCCCTCAATGATTTAAATTTTAAGGCCCTACAAAAATGTTTCAAAAAAACTCTCATTACCGTATTAACAAAATAGAAAAATAATTGAAAAAAAAAAAGTAATTTTCTATAACCACTTATGAAAAGAAATCGAGATTATTTCAGAACCGTTTGGTATTCCAGAGTGCTGCGCAATTGCTTAATATTCCATCGTGTATATGCATTTTCAACAAGTTTTGTTAACACAGGACCCATTTGATATCCTAGAAAAGCACTGTTATTTTTCATAAAATACTTATATTTAATTAAGAAAAAATCATTTAATTATGATGGAATAATCATCAATTGATAGATAGTTTTTTAATTATTGAGATCAAGTACTCAAAAATGTCTTTCAGTCCTCTAGTGACTTATTGACTTAGCAACCAAATCTGTAGAGTTGATCATTCCTCATATAGATAACATTTCAAACGTATTTATATATTTAATTTGAAAAGTGAGGCTTTTTCAGTTGTGATAGTATTTCGAGTGTGTCGCTTGGATTCCAATTTAAATATTATATTTTCGTCAGTTATATCAATAAATGGTATTGCTATATTCAATTATTTCTTAAATCTGACTTTAATCGTGCATCTGATCAATAAAATTATTATAATAGTTAATTACCTTTTTTTACTCTCTCTTTCAAGAGTTTGAAGTATTTTTCTATAACTACGTGTCACATATCCATATTGCTAACAGTGCCCACGTTGTTCAAGTTTAGGAGTTTCAGAAGAAATTAATCTGACGTGACAATGCCATCGTCTAATTATTCTTGTTAATTTTATTGTATCTTTGTACAAAATTTGTTTTCCTTATGTCATCATTGAATACAATTAAATAAATAATTAAAACAGGTCGATCTATTAATTTACTTATTCAACAGACATAATGTTTTTCACGATCATCTTGGGGTTGGTTACATTTTTATTTTTATTACACTGCTCTATTAAATACCGAAGAATAACAAAAATCCTTGAAGCACTTCCGGGACCAAAAGCATATCCCATAATAGGAAATTTGCTTCGTTATCAAATTAAAAATGGTAAATTTTAACAGAAGTTACAAAATTCGTCTAAACGAAAAATGTCTTTTATTGTAATTTCTCTTCTACATAATATAATAATTCTAATTTACAACAAAAACATTATTCATACTTTAGATAATCTTTTTGAATTAATTTGTAATACGGACAAGGAACATTATCCAATCTACAAAGTATGGTTTTTATTTATCACAACGGTAGTTTTACTTCATCCGGAAGATATTGAGGTAAATAGTTAGAATATGCAAGCAGCATAAAAATATTTTTTCTTCTCTCTAAATATAATACTAAGCGTATCGGTCACAAATGATCGAAAGAAATCTGACAATTATCGAAATTTAGTACATAAATATCTTTTAACTAAAGGTACTTATGAAGAGTTCCAAGCACATAACAAAAGGTATATCTTACAAATTCTTACATCCATGGCTAACGACCGGATTAATAACAAGTACAGGTAAACTAGTTTGGAAAATTTTAAATTTGATAAATATATTGAATCTTATTTAAAGTTAAATTTAACCCAATAGGAGACAAATGGCAACATCGAAGAAAAATTTTAACTCCCGCCTTTCATTTTAATATCCTGAAACATTTCGTAGTCACCTTAAATGAAGAAGCACGGTATATTGTATCAACACTTAAAGAACAAGGAAACGGGAATCCAATTATTAAGAATCTAGAGGAACTTATAACCGAACACACGTTAAATGCGATATGCGGTAAGTGAAAGAATATTTTTTTACATACTAATATTAATAAAAAATAAAATTGTTTACAAAAAGATCATTTGCAGAAACGGCTATGGGTACCCCGTTACAGGGGAATGGCAAACTTGAGTTTGAATACCGCAAAACCGTTCGTGATATGCTCGGTATCGTTCCATACAGGTAATCATTCATTTGTTGATTAAAGATACATTTTATGAGAAAACTATACTAAAAGGAATAAAAAACATCCTATCATTTATTAGAAGCGTGAGACCTTGGTATTTTTTTGACACCATATTTGCATTATCATCACAGGGACGATTACAAGAGAAACTATTAGAAACGTTGCACGGTTTTACGAAAAAAGTATGTATAGTATATTTCTTATCTGCGTAATAAAAAAAGTCACATCAACTTAAGAAGTTATTATTTTTATTTTAGATAATTGCAGAGAGAAAACGTTTTCACGAAGAAACTAATGGAAAATATTTAAAAAATTTGGAAGAAATGGACGAGAATGACGGTTTTACCGAAAAACACGACGACAATTACAAAAGTACTTTCATTGTTTTAGAATGATCATTTATAATCGCAATAGGAATATTAATCGAATGTTTTTATCGTAGATCCGGTATATAAGAAAAAACTGGCCATGTTAGATTTACTAATAGCGGCTTCTTGGAATGGAAACCAAATCGATGATGAGGGAATTAGAGAGGAAGTGGATACTTTTATGTTTGCAGTAGGCTATAGTATATTTATATTTAATTTTAATATTAAGATGAAATAAAAATAATTGAGGAAAAAAATCTTCACAGGGTCACGACACTACTGCAATGGCATTGGTCTTCCTTTTGAGTCTTATAGCTAAACACAAAGACGTTCAAGTAATGTTCTTAATATAAAAATTAATATAATTTTTATTAAGAAAAATGTATATTAAAGATTATTATTTATAATTATCTATAATTGTTTTAACGACTATTCGCATTATAGGAACGAATAAGAGAGGAAGTGAATAGTGTTATGAACCAAGAAAATTATCATATGACGATGCCGGTGCTTCAAGAATTTTTATATTTAGAGAGATGTATAAAAGAATCTCTTCGTTTATATCCAAGTGTCCATTTTATATCTCGTTATTTAACTGAAGATTTGCAGTTAAGTATGTAATATATTTATCGTACATTCTAATATTTGCATTCTTATTTTATTATTTTAATCAAATAATTTTCATTGCAATATTTACAGAAAAATATTTAATCCCAGCCGGTACGAACGTTCGAGTTAACATCTTTTATTTACACCGAAATCCAGAATTTTGGTCCAATCCTGATGTTTTCGATCCCGATAGATTTTTACCAGAAAATATTAGCAAACGTAATGCTTTCTGTTTTATCCCATTTAGTGCAGGATTAAGAAACTGCATTGGTAAGAAATATATAAATTATACATAAATTCAAAAAAGATTTAGATTACTATATTACTTTTTTTGTTCTAGGTCAAAAATATGCAATGTTTGAAATAAAATTAATGGTTGCCCACATATTACATAACTTTTATNGTTCCATACAGGTAATCATTCATTTGTTGATTAAAGATACATTTTATGAGAAAACTATACTAAAAGGAATAAAAAACATCCTATCATTTATTAGAAGCGTGAGACCTTGGTATTTTTTTGACACCATATTTGCATTATCATCACAGGGACGATTACAAGAGAAACTATTAGAAACGTTGCACGGTTTTACGAAAAAAGTATGTATAGTATATTTCTTATCTACGTAATAAAAAAAGTCACATCAACTTAAGAAGTTACTATTTTTATTTTAGATAATTGCAGAGAGAAAACGTTTTCACGAAGAAACTAATGGAAAATATTTAAAAAATTTGGAAGAAATAGACGAGAATGACGGATTTACCGAAAAATACGACGACAATTACAAAAGTACTTTCATTGTTTTGGAATGATAATTTATAATTGCAATAAGAATATTAATCGAATGTTTTTATCATAGATCCGGTATATAAGAAAAGACTGGCCATGTTAGATTTACTGATAGCAGCTTCTTGGAATGGAAACCAAATCGATGATGAGGGAATTAGGGAGGAAGTGGATACTTTTATGTTCGCAGTAGGCTATAGTATATTTATTTATTTTTAATATTAAGCTGGAATGAAAATAATTAACGAAAAAAATCTTTATAGGGTAACCACACAACTGCAATGGCACTGGTTTTTCTTTTGAGTATTATTGCCAAACACAAAGATGTTCAAGTAAGTTTCTTATTATAAAAATTGATGCAATTTTTCTTAAGAAAGATGCAGTTTCAAGATTATTAATTATGATTATCTATAATTGTTCTAATGATTATTTGTTTTATAGGAACGAATAAGAGAGGAAGTGAATAGTGTTATGAATCAAGAAAATTTTAAAATGACGGTGTCGACGCTTGGAGAATTTTCATATTTAGAGAGATGTATAAAAGAATCTCTTCGTTTATATCCAAGTGTTCATTTTGTATTTCGTTATTTAACTGAGGATATGCAACTAAGTATGTAATATATTTATCATACATTCTAATATTTGTATTCTTATTTTATTATTTTAATCAAATAATTTTCATTGCAATATTTACAGAAAAATATTTAATCCCAGCCGGTACGAACGTTCGAGTTAACATCTTTTATTTACACCGAAATCCAGAATTTTGGCCGAATCCTGATGTTTTCGATCCCGATAGATTTTTACCAGAAAATATTAGCAAACGTAATGCTTTCTGTTTTATCCCATTTAGTGCAGGATTAAGAAACTGCATTGGTAAGAAATATATAAATTATACATAAATTCAGAAAAAATTTAGATTACTATATTACTTTTTTTGTTCTAGGTCAAAAATATGCAATGTTTGAAATAAAATTAATGGTTGCCCACATATTACATAACTTTTATTTAGAACCAGTAGAGGATTTGGATAAAATTAAATTAATAGGAAATATAAACTTACGACCGGAGGAACCACTTCATGTCAAATTTATACCAATAAAATCATAATAATTAAATCTTTCTACTTTCCATTTTTCATAAAATAAAATATATTCATTTCAATATTATTTTAATCTAAGATTTATTACCTAGGTTTAATACTATACAAAAATATATATTTATATTAGTACTTACACATAAATTATATTATATTCACGTTGTTTATATTTTGATAATGATATACATAAATGTCCGCGGATTAAAAAGCAATTTTAATAATCTTTTACTTTTATTTTTACTATATGTTATATATAAAAGTTGAATGGTTCAAGGAAGCACATTATCTTAAATTATTATTTTTTTTAAGATGATCGCGTATATATATATATAAATCATATAAAGGTCAACTTTGATTTTTTAAATAAAATTATATATTTTTTAATGTCCCAATTAATGCAAGTTTTAATTCTCTACATAAAAGTATGAAACAACTGATGACGAATATTTATTTACATTAATTAATTTACAAGATATTTAATTTTAATATGGATTAATCGTATTGGTACTATATACACGTACTAGTATTTATCTTTTCACAGTAGATGTTCAAAAGTAGATCCTTCAGTCTGAATGCAGAAATTTACTGCATCCTATCAACTCTTTGTAGCATTTCTACAGAAATTTGTATGCGTAGAGTATCGTTTGTTTTATCTGATCTGTTGGATATCTCCCACGATACATCCGGCCGTTTTTTTGTATTTGTTACGGCATTCTCCCAGTATCAAAATCATGTCAACAATTTCGTTTGGTGTGCAATTTACTATTATAATAACCTTTGAAACGAATTTATCAATGGTCACAGTTAAAATGGGTCATGATACAAGAAACAAGATACAGTTGAAAATATCCTACGTATTAACGTTTGCTTAAAACATTCATACGATCACGACATCAAAAATGTGCAGCATATTTGCTTTACCGAAATGTTATAATATTCTTATAAATGGACAATTTTTACAATGTTCTACTCGATTCGGCATTGTTTATATTGCCCGAGAATTTTTAACAGTTCCCTTATTATAAACAATATATGGATTATCAATATCGGCTGTAGCATATTTAATCTAATATATATTTATAAAGTAATACATGATTTTTTTATTTTTGCCCATATTTAATATGATTTTCAACAAAATAATTGTATAACACTGATATATGTTTTTGACTATTTCAAATGTTGTGGTATATTAATGTAATTCGCTAATCTTTATTCTGAATCTATAATGCTACACGTTAAATAATTATATGCAAATCATATTCAAGAATATGGTAATGTTGCTTACATCATGTTTATCTATCGTTAAAACATCATTTTATCTACAAATACTTTTTAATATCTATCAGTAAAAAATCTAATACTATCTTACAACGGAGAACAATTATCCATACACACACTATAAGGTAATATTCCTTCATTATTAACTCTTGTTCTATGACAATTTTATTCATTCATCGCTCCAATGATCAAGCGATCAGAGGATGCTATCTGTTTTATCAGTGTACTATAAAATTTTGTATTCAGAAGACAGTACATATTGAATAAAGTAAGTGTTTATTAATTATATTCTTTTCTATTTAATTATTATCTATTTTTTTATCATCATCACGCATATTACTTAAACAAATAAAGAAATTCAATCATAGTATTTATATTTCTTATAAATTACATTACTGTGTCATAAACTTCGATGAGAGAATTAAATTTACTCAGAAAACTTGATTTAATTATATTAATCAAAACTTTGACACTACCTTGCACGTCATTTAATTCATTCGCATAATTTTTATTAATTCATGATGATATATTAATCATTTGAAAAATAATGTGAAAGTCGATTGAAATATAATATTCTTCAATTTATTAATGAAAATAATTACGTATTTTTTTCGTAATAGAAATCATTCGGAAAATTGTATGTAGTCATGTTTGATTTCATACGTTATCAGCTTGAGATAAAAAAAAGTAAAGATAAGATAATTTTCATTTTCTTTCTACAATTTGTTTTGCACATCATGTGATTTTACACTGATATGCCTGTATTTTGAGAGACGAACAAGGCCAAGTAGGGGCCCCCCAACGATAAAAATATTCTAAGGCCTTCAAATTCTCTCTCTCTCTCTCTCTCTCTCTCAAGTTAGAAACAAATTCTTCAAAAAAAACTCTCATTGAAATATTAACAAAATAGAAAAATAATTTAAAAAATCGTATCACAACACTTTACTGAATTTTTTAGAAAAAAGTAATTTTCTTCGACCCCTTGTGAAAGGAAACTTGAAAACCTTGAGATCGTTTCACGACTCTTTGGTATTCCAAAGTGATACCCAAGCGCTTAATACGTCACTGTGATTATGCATTTTTAACAAATTTATCTGTGTTAGTATAAAACTCATTTGATATCCTAATAAAGCGCACTGTGTTATTTCATAAAATACTTATTTTTAAGAGAAAAAAATGATTTAATTATGATGACATAAGGTTGACTTGTTAGATAGTCTTTTAATTATTGGTATTTAGAACACATCATAAAATCCAGTTCACTAATCATGCTCTGTTGTTGATTACGAGAACGACCGTTCTCAGTTCTTTAGTGACTGACTTAACGGATAGATCTGTAGAGTCATTCCTTGCAAACATAACATTTCAAAAGTTATATATTAAATTTGGCAAGTGAACTTTTTAAGTTGTGATAGTATTTCGAGTGTATCGCTTGGATTGCAATTTAATATTCCATTAATTTCAATTAAATAAATAAATGGTATATGTATATGTCTATATTTAATTGTTTTTTTAATATAATTACATCATACATTTGATCGGTAAGATAATATAACTTTTTTATTGGGTTGTACTTATTTGTTTTCCTTTTGTTATCTTAGAATACAATTACATAAATGATTATATAGGAGTTTGATCTATTAATATCTATTATTCAACAGGCGCAATGTTTCTCACGATCTTCTTGGGATTAGTTGCAATTTTATTTTTATTACACTGCATTATAATATCCCGAAGAGTAACAAAAGTCCTTGAAGCACTTCCGGGACCAAAAGGATATCCCATAATAGGAAATTTGCTTGATTTTCAAAAAAATAATGGTAAATTTTTACATAAGTAAACATTTCGTCTAGAAAATATATTTGTTCTATTGTAATTCTCCATCTGCACGATCTAATTATTCTCACTTACCATAGATTTTTTTGCTATACTTTAGAAAAACTATTCGAAGCAATTTCAAAGATGGACAAGAAGTATTATCCAATCTACAAAACGTGGTTTTTATTTATAACAACGGTAGTTTTACTTCATCCGGAAGATATCGAGGTATATAATTAGAAGATAGAACAATTGTTTTTACACTAGTAACTATTGTAAAAAATTCATAATTTACTGCTTACATTATATTGTCATTAAGTTTAATGTGTTAATTGTAAAAATAAAATGATATTTTATAAAAAAAAAAATAAAAAGATATATATATATATTTATGTACAAATATATTTTAATTATAGGTGCTTATGAAGAGTTCCAAGCACATAACAAAAAGTATAGTTTATAAATTCATAAAACCATGGCTATCAACAGGATTGGTAACAAGTACAGGTAACCAGGTTTGAGAAATCTAAATTTGTGTGTGTGTCTGAGAGATAAATAAATTACAATATATTTAAAGTTAAATTTAACTCGACAGGAGAAAAATGGCAACATCGAAGAAGAATTTTAACTCCAGCCTTTCACTTTAATATCCTGAAACATTTCGTAGTCACCTTAAATGAAGAGTCACGTTATCTTGTATCATCACTTAAAGAACAAGGAAAGGGAAATCCGATCATTAAGAATTTAGAGGAACTTATGACCGAACACACGTTAAATGCGATATGCGGTAAGTAAAAGAATACTTTTTTACATACTTATATTAATAACAAAATAAAATCGTTTTACAAAAAGATCATTTGCAGAAACGGCTATGGGTACCCCGTTACAGGGGAATGGCAAACTTGAGTCTGAATACCGCAAAACCGTTAATGCTATGCTCGGTATTGTTCCATACAGGTAATCATTCATTTGTTGATTAAAGATACATTTTATGAGAAAACTATACTAAAAGGAATAAAAAACATCCTATCATTTATTAGA